GAATTAGTTCAACATTTTGGTATTTACTATGATTTACTTTGTGGCCTAAAATATGATCTTTTGGAGGAAGTTCCATGAGCAGCTGAAAAGAAAGCATATTCAGCTATTGTTGTATAAAATATTCTGTAGATATCTGTTAAGTGCACTTGACTTATAGTGTGAATAACTCTGTAGTATTTTTGTTGATTTTATGTCTGGATGACCTATCAGTGAGAGAAGTATATTGGAATCACCTAGTATAATTTTATTAGGGTCTATTTGAGCCTTTAAGTTGAGTAGTGTTTGTGTTACATAGTTAGGTGCACTGAGATTTGGGGCATAAATATTTAATATTGTTGTTTCTTCTTGTTGGATTTTTCCCTTTACCAATATGTAGTGACCTTCTTTGTCTCTTCTAACTAATTTTGGCTTGGAGTCTGCTTTGTTGGCTATGAGAGGAGCTACTCTGCTTGCTTTTGAATTCTGCTTGCATGGAATATCATTTTTCCATCTTTTTATTTTCAGCCTGTGGATGTTTTTACATATGAGTTGTTTCTTTGGGGTAGAATTTTATATATTTCAGAATTTTATATATTTCTTTCTTATATACTTGGGGTCTTTTTTTAAAAAAATCTAATTTGCCTCTTTTAACTGGAGAACTGGAACCATTTATATTCAGTGTTATTATAGAGAGGCATATATTACTTCCTGTCATTTTGATTTATTTCTAATGTTTGCTTCAATACTGATTCTCATTTGCTTGTCTACTCATCTAATGAGATTTATTCTTTCCAGAGCTCTCTTAGTTGTTTTATCCTCTTCTCTGTATAGGATCCCTTTAAATATCTTCTGCAATGCTGGATTAGTAGGCATGAATTCCTTTAGTTTATGCGTATCCTGAAAGGTTTTTATTTCTTCCTCAATGTGGAAGTAAGTATAGCTTCTCTGTATATAGCAATATTGATTGGCAGCTATTTTCTTTCAAGGCTTAAAATGTGTCATTTCAAGCACTCCTGGACTTTTAGGGTTTCTGATGATTGGTTTTCCATTAAAGATGACCTGGTCTCTCTCTCTTATCTCTTAATTTTTTTCTTTGATCTGGATTTTTTTTGCATTTTAATATGTTGTGGAGGGGTTCTTTTCTGGTCTTGTCTATTTGGGGTTCTAAATGTCTCTAGCATATGGGTGTACTTCCTGTTCCCAAGGTTTAAAACATTTTCTGCTATTATTTCACTGATAGGCTATCCATACCATTAGCTTGTGTCTCCGCTCCTTCTTTGATGCTATGAAACTTAAGTTTGGTGTCTTAATGTCCAAGAATTCTTTTCTATTCTGATCATAGTATCTTATTTTTCCTTTAACTACAATATGAATGTCCATCCACTTTGTTTTCAAGCTCTGAGATTCCCTCGTCTTATACATGGTTTAATCTCTTTTGAGAGATTTTCAGCCAAGTTTCCCGCCCCCCCCCACTACTAGAAACTGAATCCAGGGGTGATTTATCACTGAGTAACATCATCAACCCTTTTTATTTTTTATTTTGAGATAGGGTCTCACTAAGTTGCTGAGGCTGCCCTTGAACTTGTGATCTTCTTGCCTCAGCCTATCAAGTTAATTGGATTACAGGCAAGTGCCACTAAACCCAGCTTCAATAGAGTTTTTTTAATTTGACTTTTTGTGCCTTTACCTTCTAAGATTTCTGTTTGTTTTTTTTCCAGAATCTTGATCTCTTTATTAAAATGCTCTTTCATATCATATATTTTCCCCTTAGTTCATTCCTTATATCTTTTTAAAATTTATTGATTATCTTAACAGCTAAATTTTTAAAAATTTTGCCCAGCATTTCATTCACTTGAATACCTATAGATAGAATTGTTGAGGGATTATAAATTTTTTGAGCATCTTTTTGCCTTGCTTCCTCATATTTTCAGAGTGTCTATGTTTTTCTGCATCTGTTGTGATGAGTTTCTTTTCTTCTATTATGTGAGGTCTTTTAGATAGTAGCTATCTCTTTAATATACGTCCTGCACTGGCATATCTTAGCATCAAAACATCCAGGTAGCATAATCAAAATATTAAGTTCAATCATCAGCTCTGCTTTGAGAGGAGAGAATAACTGCCAGTAACAGTGATAACTAATTAATGAAACATAATTAATTAAAATGCACAAGATTAGAAAGAACTATGGAAAAATAAATAATGAGGGAAAACACAACAAAATACTTTATGTAAAACAGCTAATGCAACAACCATCATAAAAAGATTCAGTTTTCTTTTTGCCAAGGCATTTCAAATAGCAACCCTTTTTTTTTTTTCCCCTGGGCTTCAATTTTAGGATCCCCTGGCTTTGAAGAGGTTTGTGGGACACAATTATTGTATTGTTTGTCTTTTTTCAGCTCTGACCCCAAAACAGGCAAACTTACTGGGGGAATCGGTATGCTGAGCTCTGCCCCTTCTTGCCTGCAAGTCTTGGGGGAGCTTTGTTTGTTTCAGAGCAGAATTCATCCTCAGTATCACTGTGCTTTTTAGATCTGGGGTGGGAGTGTTATTCTGGTGGGAGCTGCCGTCCATCTGTCTGGCCCAGATAGCTTGTTGACTGATCTAGATTACACCACACCTCTCCTTTTGAAAGCCTCAATCCATGTGCCATGGGAAGTATGTGGGAAGTGTCCAGGTCATGTCTGAAAATCCTAGAGACAGTTTGGGTATGGGGGAGGTGACAGGGCCTGCAAAAGAATTCTGTGGGCAGCAGCTTTCCACCTGACCCAGAGCCCACCGGCTTCTACTCGCTGTCAACCTTGCTCCTTAWCACAGTTTGAACCACCAATTKCAAAGGAAAACGCCCTTCACTTTTCTCTGCTCTGCAGGCCTGCAGACTAGCAGCTGCAGCTCCTGTTGCTGCCCAGAGCTCCCCAAAAGTCCATGTGATAATCTCACTCTTGTGCCCAGATTGACTCATGACAAATCYAGTAAGAAATAAAGCATGGAAAGTTTAAACAATGAGGCTTTTTAAGCTAGCACTGCTTTCTCACTTTTACTAAACCTGCTTGGAAGTACTTGGTCTCTCTCCCATGCTGGGACATATCACTCCTTCTTTATGTTCTTACCTTCCAGACCCCTGACTTCTTTTCAGCTGTGTTGTTCAGTTTATCTGATTTAACTATTCAATAATTACTTATTGAGTGCCTGCTATGTAGGACTCACTGACAATATAATAGTAAGTGAAGGTTTTTTTTTTCCCCTAGAACTCTTATCATCTAATGAAAAAGAGATACTAAAAACAATTATTGGATTAAACATATGTTTAAAATAGTGAAATTTATAAATTATGTCCAAGTACTATGAAATAATGTGAGATATATGAAATCATGAAGAGACATATGATTCAGATTGGTCAGCYTCTATCAGGGTCTTAAAAAATGAGATTTTAGCTGGGAGTTTGTACGTGAAGATGTTGGCTGACCAAACATCAGGGGTAAGAGCATTTGAGGRGGAGGAGGTAACAGCAGGTTCAGGGACCCCGAGGCAGGGAAGCTACTAGTGTATCATCATGTAAAATGATCATTGCAAAAAAAAAAAAAAAAAAATCCACTGTAGTGCAGCGTGAATGAGCCAGGAAGAAAGTGTCCACAAATGGGGCTGAGAATTGGGCAGGCAGGTACCAGGCAGTATTGTAGGCCATGCCAGAACTTCAGATTTGTCCTCATGAGCATGGGARGCCATTGCAGGCTTCTAGCAGAAAAAAGCTATCTGCCATGTGGAAAGCAAATTGGAGGGAGGCAGGAGTGAAAACAAAGAAACCAGTCAGGAGGGCTTTTGGAGTGGTCCAGGGGAGAGATGACAGCTCCGACTAGAGTGACGACGGTGGAGATGACAATAAATGGCATGTTTGAGACATACTTTACAGAAGGAAATGATATGGCTTGTTGATGGATGCAGAAAGTGAGTSATGAAAGGCATTAACGATCCCTGCCAGTCTTTAGGATGAGTAACTTGATGTAAAGTTACCAYGACCAAAATGTGAAATGCAGGAGGAAAAGCAGGTTTGGGAGGGAGGATGGAGGATTCAGGTTTTGAGGAGTGAAATTTGAGATGTCTGTAGGATATTCAAATAGAGACATCAAAATAGGAGGGTGAGTATGTGTTCTGAAGTTCAAAAGAAGAGTCTGTGTTCAAGCAGAAACTTGAGAGTTCCTGCACACAGAGACTACTTAGAACCATTATTATAGTCTTCATTTTTTTTTTAACATAGGGCCAACCTTGTACTTTTTAATTTGACTTCTCTCTCTCTCTYTTTTTAATATTTGGGCCTGTTACTTTGGTTACACCTTTCAATATTCTATTTYGGTCATCCCAATTCCACCTTATTTTGTAGGTTTCTAATTACACTGTAATGACAGAGTATTTCAATAGAAAGAAGCAGATTTTGACTTTTTGTATGCCTTGGGCAAATCACTTAGTTCTCTGTGTATTAATTTCCTAATAGTAAAGAAGGGAATTGGTTGTGTTAGTTTTAAAAATCAATGATTCTGTAATACAAGAATTATTGGCTAAGTTATGTCTAGATTTTTAAATCCATAAGGGATGTCTAGATAATTATCATTTGGAAGTTAACAAAGGCTTAGATTAGCTATTGCAGGATATTCTGAAGTTCACATAACGACCAGCAACTAATGGTTAAATTAAACACTATTGATGTAATTCCCAGAGTCTATTGCTGTAATTTAGAGCAGTATTTCTTCTGCACTTGTGAATACAGATTATAGGATAAACTAGAAAATTTGACATTTACTCATCAAAATAGCATCACCTTGAAATCTAAGACAAGCATGTTTCACTGCAAATTCTTATAGGTATGGTCACTCTTTAAGCAAAGTTAGGAATAATCCAAATATCATGGAGAGTCCTAGTAAATTAAATAGCTTGAATTATTGACCACAAGGCATAGGTAACAGCGTTTCCTTATATTATTCAAATTAAAGCTAGGCGAAGTGTCAACATTATCAGCAGTTTTTCCATACCTCAGTGACAGCGAAAGTTCTCTTGCCACAGGGAACCATCTTGTACCACTTGTCATGCAGCACGTCCATAAACCCATGTGACTTATATTGGCTGATTAGCTCAGATATATTGGAGGTCAGTGGAGAGTTGGGTGGAAGACCAATGCCATATCCTAGGAGAAAATAATCTCACATAAGTTTTTTCACATTGTTCTTGAGAGGTTGCCACCATAACYGTATAGATATTGCTATCAGATCTGACAATAAAGGAATGGTGGGTTTGCATGATCTTTCCTCCAAAGGACCCTAAGACATTCTTAATTTTGATTACTTTTAGAACAGCCAAATCTCTGAGTAGATGAGTTTGAAAAGGATAGGGATGGGCTGTGCACAGTTTTCTAGGAGAACACTTCAAAATAGTCCTTAGATGCAATCTTTGAAGTCATTACCAAGACTAGGGTTCCCTATTCACCTCTCCAGAATCCAGCCTCTGGATTTTAAGTAACAAAATTGGATTCATCATAATCTTTGGTTTATGACATTATCTTATTATTGTTAACACATTTTTTTACTTTTATGATTCATTTTATTCTGTTTGTGGATAATATAATAAGATCATGTGGACATTTAACACAGTATGTAAAGTAAAATATCCAACAAGAAATTATAATGACTTTAATTATTAAAAAGTCTGGTAACACCAAGTGTTGGAGAAGACGTGGACCAGTCAGATCACTTATACACTGCTTGTTGAAACACAAAGTGGTATGATCATTTTGAAGAACAGTTAGTTATTATTCTTTTGTGGTTGATCATTTATATACTTCAAGATCAGCAATTYTGCTCCTATGTATACTTTCAAAAACCTCTACAAGCATACCAGATGTGATCAAGAATGTTGTTAGAAGCACTATTTATAATAGCAAAAATTGAAACCAACACAAATGTCCAAATGTTCTTTGGCAAGAGAATAATTAAATAAATATTATAACAAACGGATTTGAATATTTTTATACAATGTAAAATATTTGAACTAGAACTAGACACAATGATATGGATGCCTCAGCACTWTGTTGTTAGGTGAAATGTGACAATCCCAAAAGATTACTTGGAGTATGAATGCAAGGTGTAGATGTAAAAACACTCAAAACAAGACAGTGTGTTATTAGGAGTACATATGTATGTGATGAAGTTTTATTTATGTATTTATTAATTTATGGTACCTGGGATTGAACTTAGGGGCACTTAACCACTGACCCACACTCTGCCCTATTTTGTATTTTATTTAGAGACAGGGTCTCACTGAGTTGCTTAGGGCCTTGCTAAGTTGTTGAGGCTGGTTTTGAACTAGCAATCCTCCTGCCTTAGCCTCCGGAGCTACTGGGATTACAGGCATGTGCCACTTTGTCTGGCTGAAGCCATATTTTGAAAAAAAAATAAGAATATGATAAATTAAAGATCCAAGGTTGAAATTATATAAGGCACAGGAGCATAGGAGAAAGGGGAAGGGATGCAGAGAGAGAGAGCACCAAGATGGATATGGTTTTATTAATCATCTTAGCCTCTATATTCTCATTCCATGTAGCTTTACTTCCTTTCCAAACTGTTCCTACACTGTTAATATCTTTGATGAGCCAYGTGAAAGAGACTAATTATCTACATATTTTTTTTTTTAGCTGTTAGATAGCATGGTCAAAAAAAAAGATTATTTTTGCCCTCAAGATAATTGAGGAAGATAAATTAAAAATGCAGTTAGTTCCTTTTTCACAGATAAAGACTAAAAGCCTGTCAAGAATCCAAAGATACTTAATGGAAACAAATATTTGCTATAATTATTCTATCTTAAAACTCAATGCCAAAAATATTAGCTTTTGTTCCTGTTTCAATGCAGGCATTCATTTTTTAAGAACATGAGGCTTGAGATGTGTGTATAACCAATGAAAGAGTTGAAATAAATAATGCCAAACAATTTTTGAGTGTTAAAAAATTGCACATTTTTTCCCCTGATAATTTTGTTTGTTCCTTAACAATAGGGAGTCAAGGAAATGATGACAATGTCAAAAACATGATTAGAATTTTCCATTCAAAGAGCTATTTTGAGTGTCTGTCTTGTGCCTATTAGTTTGGTTTGAAAGGAAAGACTGATGATAAAAGACTTTGGATGGGCAGCATTTTCTTCTGCTGATGTTATCATTAAATAACATTTTAAAAAATATAATGGGCAACTTTTTATAAGGAAGTTACCAGTTTTCTTTAGGAATCTCAGTTGCCCACACATGTATTCAGTACTTGTTTATATGTCAGTTACAACATTAGATACATAGGCAATAAGATTCAACAATTGACTGACACACATTCGTCCATTCATCAGATATCTTATTGAGTAAATAGGCTATGATAAGTGTTCAGAATTTAGCAGAGAGAAAAGCAGACATGGTCTCTGTTGTCACAGACTGTCTTTGGGGAGACATTAAACAGTGCATCACATAGTGATTATTTTATTTCAATTGAGACAGATGCCATTAAGGAGAAGAACTGGGGCATGTAAGAGCTATCTAATGGGAGTGGGTTGGTGGTCAGGATAATTAGTTTGGGTCAAATTTGATGAATATTATTGTGTTTCCCTTTAAAGCAATAGGTTTCAGCAACAACAATTTCTCATATTTACTGAGGGCTCACTATATCCCAAGTAAAATTCTTGGACAAACGTTTTGCATTCTCTACCCTACTTTGTGAATCATGTACTGGCCCATGTACTGCTAGATTGTGGCACTGTGTTCAGTTAAATCACTCTGGTATCTCAATAGTAAAAATTAGGACATTCTGAGCCTTTCTTTGTGCCAGACATTTCCCCAATGTATCCCTATGTGCACCCATGCCAGAGTAMATACTACTTAGAGATTCAAAGATTGAATAAGTGACTGATAACATCACATAGCTAGTTTAGCTGGCAAAGTCAGTATTTGCAAAGAGATCTGTTTTATTCTAAAATCAGTGCTCTTTCTACCATGTCCATCTCGACAAGTCGAGTCAGGGAAATACTTGACCTATTTCTTCCCTTTCAGTACTTCCTATCACTGTAGCCACATTGATGCAATACCCCCCAAATAAGGTAATTCATTTAAAAACCACAACCCTCAAAACTGGTGGTTTGTTCTGAGCAAACACAAATATTTATTGTTCACAGGTAGATTTTATTTATAAACTTTTCAGCAAGTGGTGTCAATGTAGTAAGTTTGCATATGATTATATATGCTAGGAAATTCCCTAAGCAAGGAAGCTTACTAATTAAAATGTTTCTCCTAAAAATCCTCTTACAGCTAATAATTCCAACCTGCATTGGAGTTATAATGGTAAAATAGTTTTCATTTGATAGGCATTTATTGCATACCTCAGGTTCAGAAGGAGAGATTGCTACCAAGTGAAAGAAAGAGAGAGGCATATTAAACTGATTCTCGATAATGACATTTTTGATGTAAGGCAAAAATACATAGGGAAGGGCTGGGGATGTGGCTCAAGTGTGCTCGCCTGGCACGCATGAGGCACTGGGTTCTATCCCAGYACCACATAAAAATAAAAAAAAGATATTGTGTTCACCTAAAAATAAAAAATAAATATTAAAAAAATACATAGGGAAGTTAAAAAATTTGAAATTAATACAATAAATCTACATAATCTAAGAACAGAATCTTGGTACTACAAGAAAAATGTTAAAATACTCTTAAGAAAAAAGCAATATTAAAGTTGCAAGACAGTTGTAAAAAATTGCTATGCAGGAAATAATAAATATTAAATCACTCCACTCCATCATGCTTAGTTTAATTTGCAATCGGCTGATAAAAATAGATTGTTATCCTTTTTAAAATTTTCTATTTTAATACATATATTGGATATTGACACTTTAATAGCTCTATTGCTAATTATTATTAGCTAATTAAAATGAATTTTGATATGGAATGAGGAAAGAAATAGGAAAAAAAATTATGTGGCAACGAGAAGCGGTCTTTGATAAGAGATATAAATATCCATTTTGTTCAGAAACATAAAAAAGTAAAGCCTTGAAGGTTCCATTTCCATACTTCTGTTTTCTCAGTTGCTTCTCAAATTTGATTGTGTTCATTGGTCAAAGAATTGTTATTTTTAAAATGCTGAGTCAGCCTTAGTTGCTTTCATTATCATTAGAAACGTGGCTTTGAAATAAAAACAGGGTTGACTATTTTGTGGTTGGTTGATGGATGAAGCAAAATGAAATCCTTCAACCCTAAAGATGAAGGCGTCAGGCACCCTGGAAATTGGATACAGCTTAATAGCCCCAGAGAACAATTTTCAGAATAGAATCCTGATCTTTTCCCCATGGATAAATCAGCTTTACTCAGCTAAGARCAGAGGGAATATATTTTGACTAGCAAATGTGTAGTTAGAAATTCATAGACTAAAAGAATCTTCCTGAAAGGTGGTTGGAAAAGAGATATTTTGAAAATAAGACCTTAGATAGGGTTAAAGAGACTTCGGGAAGGAAGAGTCATTCAGTTTTGTACTCTGTCCTTGGAATACCAAGTTTAACCACTTTGGGACAATGGCTGAGAATATATTGTGAAAGTCCCAATKGCAAAGGGAACTTTATAAATGGATTTCCCTTACCCTCCCTTACCCTTAGCACATCAAACTGGGGAGAGAAGAGTCTGGGTAAAGCTGAGATCAACCAAGACTATCCTGGGAAATTTTGTAGKGTATTGGTCTCAATTTATCAATTTGACATATTGGGTAATAATTTATTGATGACTTCCTATGTACCAGGCATGATTCTACATGCATTGTTTATTGTGTTACTTAATACTTACAACATCACTGTTATAGGTGTATTATTCACATCCTCATTATGCAGRTGAGGAACCAGGAGAAATGATTAAGAAATTTGTCAGTTATTGAGAGTTTCTAACCCAAGCTCCCAGACCCCAGAACCAGTCAGTGCTCCAAGCACAGTATTAAATAATTATTGGCAAAGCAAGAAAAAGAACAAGCTGAAAAACAGGCAAGTCTTTGGCAGAAAGGTCACAGATCATTATTTTGCAGTTACATTGGTCTTTTTCCTTGTTTGACCTTTATTGTCCTGATTCATGAATTTGGGACATGTATTCATTTATCTCAAATCTCTCTCTTTTTTCCCCCCAAGAACACAATATGTCTTTATGTCCCTAGCATTTAAGTAGCATTTTGACCAAAGACTTTCCACATGCTCTTGAMTWGAACCAAATTGTAGGTTGGATTTGYTCYRTTGTGTACTATTTAGTAGCAAAGAATACCCATCATGAAGGGTTTTAAGCTCAACATGGAGCTACTGTCTCTCACTGGCCTTACTTTTCCCTTTTGAAACTAAATATGCACAGAAGGGTGAATTTGTAGGTATTTTAGTCTGCTTGAGTTACTAGAGCAAAATACCAAAGTCTTGGTAGCTTATAAATAACAGAYATTTATTTCTCACAATTTTGAAAACTGGAAAGTCCAGGATCAAGGTRGCAGCAGATTCAATGTCTGKTGAGGACCACCAGCTTTACGGCTCATAGATGTCTTCTAGTCGTGTCCTCACATGATAGATGAGTGAATGAGCTCCCTCCTAGTGGCCCATTTGATAAGAAYACTAATCCTATTTTATAAGGGCAGAGCTTTTATGATCTAATGACCTTCCCCAAGAACCGCATCTTCTAGTTGGGAATTATGTTTTGRCATATGAATTTTGGAAAATAGGCAAAAATTCAGACAATAGCAGTGTATCAATACTATATAGAGTGAATATAGAAGTCACGTAGGAGTCAATAGACTCTATTTTCCCTCTTCAGTTACTGAAAATATTTAAGCACTTGGAAAACTATGTGCAAACCACCAGGATACTTTTGATTAACAATATTTGTAAGGGAATTAGGTACTTATTTTTATTTTAAATTAATCAACTATATAATTGGTAATACATCAATTATTATATGATTGCTGTATGACCAGGATTGCAGTAGGCTCTGTGGAGGGATACAGATCGGCATCTGCAACATYTCTGAGTTTACTGGGGAAGCACTCATCATAAACTGCTATGATGATGTTTTTATATTTACGCAATCTAATTAATAACAAAGCCTACATTTGAATAAGTTCAAAAAACCTAAATGTTTTTAAAGAAAAACATCTCATATTCGCAAAAATTTCATTAAAAAAAATAAGAGAGGGCTGGGSTTGTGGCTCAGTGGTAGAGCCCTTGCCTGGCAYGTGTAAAGCACAAGGTTCAATTCCCAGCACCACATAAAGATGAGTAAATAAAATAAAGGTCTTGTGTGCATCTACAACTAGAAAGAAATATTAAAAATATGTATATAAGAAAAAAATTCACTGGGAGATATTTTTCCCCAAATTCTTGAGTTAAACATTAAAAAAAAAAAATCAGCAACCAAGACTGAGCTTTTTGTTGTTGTTGTTGTTGCACGTAACTTATAAGAATCCTCCCTTTGAGTTTTTCCAGGGTCTGTTTTTAGGTTGTGAAGTTATTGGCAGGGGCAGTATTGAATTAAGTGTTCTGATTTGTATTTCATCCATTTTAAGTATGCATCAATAATGATGATGATGCTCTCTCTTTTGGAATCTGCCATCYTTCTGCTGTCTTACAGGGAGAGCTCTTCCTTGTGCCACTTTGTTTATTCTCTTTGAGAACAATGTGGTGTCTAGAGATGATAGGAACTGCAAGACACCAAGTCTCATGAGCACAGATGGAAATGGAAACAGGAAAACAGTGGGGAGTTAATTGTGTGGCATCTGGCAAACAAAACATCGTCTTCTGCCTTTTGACAAGATCAGGTGGCCCCCCGAAGACAAAGGTGGAAAATGAAACCCCTCATTTTTATGYCCATAAATTATTTATTATTAGTAGCACTATGGTAGGAAGGACTTCCATTACCCCACACATTTAGGATGTAAATAAAATGTAGTATCCTTTCCATATCCCTTACTGCCACACACACACACAAAAAGGAAATTTTCCATTGTTACATTAAAATGGGGTTTACTGAGCATATACTGAATGTTCTTTTGGTTTTCTTGTGTTTGCTCTTTCTCTCTCTTTCTCTTTGTGGTTTTGCTATCMAAGACTGCARTCTTAATAAAAGACCAATTCCACTCTCTTCCTGAAGTCCATCCCTGACCCAGGTGGGGGTCATTTTGTCTAGACTGAAGACTGGTTTCTCCTTGGACARGTCTAAAGAAATAGCATCAGCTGTTATATTCTCATTCATCACAAAAAACAGAGTGAAGCAAAAATATCTGCTGATGCGTTTAGGAGAGACAGAGACCAAGTATAATTGGGAAATTGGAATCAAATAGTCTTGATACCCTAGTTAACATACAGCAAAGCACAGATTTCTGGAAATAGGACTTGTGCACCCCCTTGGGATTGTTTCAAGCCAAAGTGCTTTCTGACAAGTGAGCATGGCTGTCTTGAGAGCTAGCACGCACTGTCAGGGAGGGAAACCTGGGAATTGGGAGATGTGAAATTTGCTGGTTCAAAMTATCAGCTCCATATATCAACTGTCACTCAGAATGAAAGAAGCTACTGACAAAGCAGTCCTTCTTTGGTTCTGAAGTTTGATTGATTGGTTGATCTAGTTGGAAGCAAAAATTGCTGCCAGTGGGGAGAAAGGCAAGCCCGGGGTTCCAAACAAGGTTTATGTTTAGTACCCTAAAGGGTATTAAACTTTAAAACGAGATTTTTTCCCCCTACTTACCTTCCAACTAGTGAAAAACACTTATATTGGAAACTGAGATTTGGATTTTAATCCCACTATTATCATCTAATTATATAATTATAAAAATATGATACAATATTCTTGGATTTTCTTATGTCTAAAATAGATTGGATTAGATCAATGTTGGGGCTCTGTTGTAAAATATAATCATTCTCTCTTTCTTTTTATTTTATTTTTTTATTTTTGGTATTGGGGATTTAACCCAGGGGCACTTTACTACTGAGCTATATCCCCAGGCCCTCCCCCAATTTTTATTTTGAGACTTATTAGATTACTTAGGGCTTTGCTAAGTAGCTGAGGCTAACCTCAAACTTGCAATCCTCCTGTCTCAGCCTCCCAAGCCACTGGGATTTCAGGCATGATCACCACACCCAGCTTAGTCTCATTTTTGTATCAGATTTATTACAGTGTTTGGCCATTCAAAAAWAAAGATGAGGGGCTAACGGTGTAGCTCAGTGGTAGAATGCTTGCCTACTCTGTGCAAGGCCCTGGGTTCCATAWCAAGCACCGAAAAACAACAACACTAACAACAATAAAACAGGGAAAAACAAAATTCAAACAAATAAAAAAGACAGATCAAATTAAAACTGGACTCCCTCATTTTGCCACCACTCCCAGATATCTGAACCAACACATTTGAGAAACAATTATTTTTTTCACTAACAATTGCATAAATAAATATTTGTTGAGTTGGAGAAAAATAATTTCTAACTTCAGCAACTTAATAGCTAAGTGCTTATGAGTTGAAAATGAAAACAAGGGAAGATGAATAGCTCCTTGCCTCCGACTTTGGCATTTGTGACTTGCTAGGTTAGCAAACTGAGCACATCCTGAGTAAAAGCAAATCAAGAATGACTGATTAATACCTTCTATGGCAAACGGCTTCCCCACGGTTAGAAGTTTACAGTCAGCATCTATTGACACTTCATAATCCAGAAGGGCTTTGTCCATGATGAAGGCGTCTAGTTTCTCTGGATCATTCCTATATTTAAGACCAAGAGAGAAAAAGTGAACATGATTCATTAATGGGCAGGAAGCATTAAGCCTGACAGTTGGCTTCTGTATAGGGGACAGACACCTGAACACTAAGGGCAGCGCAAGCTTGCTTGCTGCTGACAGATTTGTTGACATCTCACTGACCTGGAGAGTACAGATCAGGGGAAACAGATATTCTTACAAGAAAACATGATAAACCTCTGTATTTATCTACCAGTCTCTTTCACGACTTCTCAACCCAACAACAAAGCCAGTGTGACTGAATTGAACAGGAAGGTGTACAGGGAAAGTTACTTCCTGTAGGTTATCAGAGAAACTCGTGTTAGGTATTGTATTCATTGTTTTCCATACAGTTTATCACTCATAAAGGCTGTGACATAATCAATGAGGAAATTGAGGCTCAGAGAGTCGAAGGAACTTGATCCAGGGGACATAGCTGGTAGAGTTGCAGCCAGTTGGTCTCATTAATTTCATGTTGAAAGTTTAATCTTTTTTTTCCATGAAGATCAATATTATATTTTTCAGAGATTTCAAGTATTATTTCATATTTATGAGTAGCTATTAAGGAAATATTTAGAAGAGATCTAGTATTCTTGAGAAAAGGAAGTTATAGTCTAAGTCCATGGGCTAGCATTCAATAAATGGAAGGGGAAGCTGATGTAATAGATCTTAGTGGTCCAATTTATTAACATATCTACAGAAATTCATGTTACATCCCAGTAGGTGGTTCTGGCAATGATAATTTACAGTAGTTGTCCCTGAGCTGTATTAGTGAATTGGCAATGGACTCAAATTGCTATTAGAAGTTTTGGGGCACTTGGGCATCCTTTATGAAAGTCTTCTCTTTTTTTCATACTGGGGATTGAACTCAGRGAGCTTAATCACTGAGCTATATCTCCAGTAACCTTTTTATTTTTTATTTTGAGATAGGGTCTGGCTAAATAKCTTATGCCCTTGCTGARTTGTTGAGGCTGGCTCTGAAATTGTGATTCTCCTGCCTCAGCCTCCTGAGTCACTGGGATTATAGGTGCATGCTCGGCTAGTCTTCCCGTTTTCCTGAACATTAATGCAGAAGAGGTTCAGGGGAAGACTATGTCTCAGCATAGGCCGAGCTCCAACTTACAAAAAGGGCAAGGGCGGAGAAGTTTGAAAATGAGCTGTTTAGGTCACTTTTTTTTTTTTTTTTTGTCTTCAGCCAGTAGGACATACATATATTGAAGAAAGGCTATTCTATACTCAGGGTTATCTAAACAGCTTTGCAAAGAAAACAACTCTTCTCTATTCAATTTGGCCTCAATGTGGTRTTTTAGAACAAGGAATAAGGCTGTTCAAATTCAACGCAGAGAAGTGGTTTCTAAACTCAGAGAAGAACAAGGCTAGGGCTCATCAAAAATTTAAAAGAGAAAGACATCCCTAGACAGGTATAAAGTTCATCACTTGGCAGGAAACATATCTTTMCATGGACGGATTTGTTTGGATCACACATGGACACATAGTAAGTAGTTTAACTTTTCTTTTTGGTGCCAATTACCATTGCTTACTTTTCATTCTCTTCCAGTAAGTGAAATAAAAAATTTAAAAAAGTATTCTCTTTTCCAGAGGTATTGAATTTAAGTTATAACAAAGTTCATGCTTGGCTTTAACCAACATGAAATCACCTCTCAGTTCCATCCATATATTTATACAACTATTCTTAATTTTGGAATGAAAAAGTGCAGTTGGTTATATCARATTTCTATTGCGTAGGAACTAGAAGCAATCATCTCACACAGACTCCCCTGGGAGCATGAGTCACTGGTGAAGAAGTGGCCAAGTGTGATTCAGGTATTATAGCTTCTGGACTGAGTCACCATTGTAGTTGATAGGGCCTCAAGTTGATTCTCCCATTATGGAATCATGCTCCTTTTTTTGAGCATTTATTTAAAAATACATATTACATGCTACAAAGTCATATATTAATATACTGAAAGAAGTGTAAATTTTAATAGGATTAATTTATTGTTAAATTGTCACCTTAGGGAGCAGGGCCCTGAGAGAGTTGGTATAAGGCTGGGAGAATTTTGATGGGAGAGGCAAAGGACACAGGTGACTTTCAAGTACAGTGACTTTGGGTGTTGTTCCCTGTAAGTAAGAGCTTTGGGATGCTAGAGGGGCAGGATAACATGAAGACTGCAATTGCTTTGAGTAATGTCTAAGAGCACCAGTAGTGACTAGGTCAAAAGTAGAGAAAGAAGGATGAGAGAGCAGTGAAGTGGTAGTAATGATAAGCTCTGCCAGTATTTCTCTTCCACATCAATCAGTGACTCATCTGGGGAACTTGTTGCAATGCAGATTTGGATGCAGTTGGTTTGGGATGGAGCCTGGCATCTTGCATGTCTAACTAGTTCCCAGATACTAACTGGAACACAGATGTTTCTGTACCATGGATTATTCTTTGATCATCAAGGACCTTTCATTATGATTTCCAAACCAGCTTGAAGTAGCGATTGRATTACAAAGAACTGGCTCTAGTCCTGATTCTGCCACTTGTTAGCTGCATTACCAGGGAAAGCTTACTTCTACCAGGCCTTCTTCATCTGTGACTACTTTTCAAATGATTGCTTCTCTCCAGTCTAAGGTGGGGCCAATGCTGGGTATGGGAACCTTCTCAYGTAAAGTCACTGGAATAAATGAATGCACGGAGTGAAGAGGAAATGCCAGGAACCCCAGCAGTGGTTCATCTCATGCTTGTCACACTGCCAGCAGAACTCAGTTTGTCAGCCATTATCTAGCTGGGAGCCCAATGCTATTTCCCTGACATCTCATTCTCTCTCTCTGCTGTGTATTTGCCTGAAGGAAAGAATACATACAGAAGAGGATCTGGGAGGCAATGGAGCTCTAAACTCTGTGCCAGAGAGGGACTCTAATGTTCTGATGTTTTTGCAAAATTAAAAGTGCCATTTCATAGTACTTAAGCATCATRTATACTTTGCAAATCTAAGAATGTGTGGCTTCCTCTCCAAGCTCTCATTAAAAGTCCATAAAATTGTTTAAGGGGCCTATTACTAGAACTYTTAAGAAACACAAAGCCCTTATGTTCCATAAAATCTTTTATTTCCTCTCTTTTAAGAACTTGAGGTGGCAGGCCCTGTTGTCCATGGGGGAGATCATTGTAGCTGACCATAGAGAGACCAGCTTCCCAAWGCTGCACAATTATAAGGATTGGAGGGCTGGATGCCTGTTATTGCCCTAATGCCAAGTGGGAGGGAGAGAACTGCTCACCCTCAGGCAGTGATGCTTATTGGGATCCATGCATTCACTTTCCCAGGCAGACTAGACAAGCAGACCCATAACTTCATGGTCCTCCTCTGCATTCAGTTCACTGAATCACAGGCTCTGATGATCTGCCCTGGCAATGTGATTGCCTTTGATGGCTTTTCATAAATTCTGATGAGAAGGATACAGACATGGGAAGCACTGCCTTCTATCTTTTCTCTTTTCTACAGGAAATCCCTAAGATAAATTCCATTTCCTCATGGCAAGAGTAGGCATTCTATGGGCTTAGAGATTCACTGTGAARGAAAGGATTGCTTTGGGACACTTTATCCCCTGGCCATATTCCCTGTGTGTTTGATCATTTCAGCACCATTGTTTTCTCAAGTGATGCCAAGCCAGCTTTTATTTCCCCCACCATCTGCTGCACTAATGACTCCACTGGCTCTTGGAGCAAAGCTACTGCCAACTTGAGACTAGGCAGGTAACTAGTAATAGAGGCCACATAATTAAATGCACATATTCCATACTGCCTTACTACCCTCTGGGTCCCACACAGTGTGATACTACTGAACACAGTGGAAATACTTGTCACTAAAAAAAAAAAATAAATAACAACAACAATAAATCGCGCCAGTAGCAAAATGGCATCTCTTTCAGTGAGAACTTTTAGGATCCAAGAGGTTGACACTCACTTGAGGTACTGCACTCCATCAGGCGTGGCTGGAACATTGTACCTCCTCATATACTCATGCATCTCTGGGAAGCTTTGCCTCACATAATCTTCAGCACTGCTCTCCCGGACAGTTCCAAACCGGAAGCCTTGGGACGGATGGTGCAGCTGAAGGAGAAAAGAAATGGTTTTAATRTAAGTTACTATTAGAATTGTTTCCAAATTTTTCCTTTTTCATTATTATTTGGAACCCAGGGACAATTTTTAGGACTTTTAAAACACACAGAGGCACAAACATATAATAAAGATGTGCAGAYACAGGTACATCCTCTTCCATATCCCAGTTTTCACATCAGAAATTGTTCTATCTTCAGAAGCAAACAGATGGGAACAAGAAATCCAAACTACACAACAWTTTTTTTCTTTATATTGACAACCTATGATAATGCTTAAAAGCTGTAYAACTTGGCATGGAGAATCAGCTTTATATTCTAAATTGTATTTTGAAATACGTAATTAAGATAATAAAYTGAAGATTATGATYCCCTTAGTTAGACCTACACAGAGGCCTAATTAAAAACCTTGCATCCTCAGATTAAAATATACCTGACTCAACATTGTGAACTTATCCCTCTCTTTTTTATTTTTATTTAATTTTTAATTTTAATTTTATTTTTATTTATATATAATAGCGGAATGCACTATAATTCTTATTACTTTCTTAAGTATCAGTTATATTACATGTTAGGTGTGTTGATTTTATTTTTGGTATTATTATGAAATGCTCTTGTTCCYTTATGAAACTGTATTATCCAATGCTGAGTCATGCTGTATATTTCCTTGGAAGGAATAGTGTGTAAGAAAGTTGAGATCAGTGGAGGTGAGGGGTAGCAGGAGTAGAYTCAGTAATGTCATAGTTCTCCAGGATGCAAGACTGCATGGTGAGGATGGGCAGTGCACTGGGAGTCCTGCTGAGACCTTTCCGTCACTAAGGATAGAAAAGATACATCCATGAAGTGTTACTCAGTGAAATCTGGGAGAAGCCTTAATATGGGATCCAAAACTTGGACAATTTCAAATTTAAGAACAARCTGAAATTGGGCCATATTATGAAAGTGATGAAATATCCTGAAGTTTTTTTTTTAAGTTGTTGATGGACCTTTTATTTTATTTATTTATATGTGGTGCTGAGAATTGAACCCAGTGCCTCACATATGTTAGGCAAGTACTCTACCACTAAGCCACAATCCCARCCCAATAACCTGAAGTTTTAAGGCTACACTTCTCCACCAATGTTACAGTAAAGTTTTTGAACTTTTTTATTCTGTTTCATATTGATGTATTTTATAACACTGGTTCTGACTATAAGTTGTGGGGACCATGGGTCCATAAATGGGCTTCATGAACTTCAAAAATCTGAAATTTTAGGCAATAGTTTATGTAAATACATATTTGTAATTTTTTTCCTATGGAAGGAGAAAATACAGCACTCTTTAAAAATTAATTAAGCTTTCAAGTTGTTTACAACCCCCAATGAAAAAGATAGAGAACTCACTGGATATGGTAACAAATATCTTATAATCAAAGTTGAAGTAATTCTGACACACACGAAAGACAATATGACCATAATTAAATAAACTATATAGCATGTCCTTATAAGATGTCATGAAATCTATAAAACAAGTTTGTAAAATATGCTTATAAAATTTGGCAGCTGCTCCTATGAAAAAATGGAAAAAGTTTTTATATCATGACCAAAATTAAATATGTTCATATTTATTTAAATACCATAATTCCCATAAGTATCACATGTGAACAGGCACACACACACACACACACCCCTTGGAAGAAAATATATAAAGATATTAGCAATGGCTGTATGACTAGTGATGAAATAATAATAAGTTTATTTTTAAGTTATGGGTTGTCTTCAGAAACATATATAATGTTTATAAGTAGAAAAAACTTCTTGCAGTCACTGCCATATAGGAAAGGAATATCATGGTTGTTCATGATATTTCTTTGGATACCCCACTGTGGAGTAGGTAATAYGGTATTAGGCCCTTTGTTAAATGTAATTACTTCAAACAAATTCTAACATTTTATGTCAGTGCAACCTTAATGAGGCATAAACAATAACAACCGTTAACATTTACTGAGTACTTATCATGTGCCAAACATGGTACTCAGCACTTCATGTGCATTATCTGGTTTAATCCTCATGATGGCTTCACCGGAGGACACTATTACTACTTTCTTTTGAAGAGCAGTATACCGCAACTCAGAGAAGTGAAGTAATTGGTGTAGGATCATGCAGCTGGAAGTAGTAGGGATTGGATCAGAACCAGAATCTGTCTGATTTCAAAGCTCTGGTTGTTATCCACCCCATCATCCTGTCTTCCAATTCATAGCAGTAACTGGAGTGATGATGATTATTAGAGGGAACTCATCAGCCTTTTCTTAATATTCTCATTGAGACTTCAACCCCCTGGCAATTCTCACAATAGCAAATTGCTGTCCTATGGATGCAGAAAAGCAAATTCATCAGCATTTTCTCTGTACAACACCTATTCATTTTTTTTAAAGCCTACATCAAGATCTTCTGTGCGAAGTCTTTGGTCTTATATAGTTTCACCGTACTACCCAAAGTGATAACAATAAAAGTGATTAATTGCTTATTTATCTATACCAACACAGCAAACTATGTACTTACAAACTATGTATTCTAGCTGTTTATTTAAACAAACCTTTACATTTCCATGAATCATTTCTTCTGATCCACCTGAGAAACCTGTGACCTAGGTATTTTCACTATATTCCTCTCACAGATGAAGAAACTGAACATTAGAAAGTTTGACATTTGTCCAAGGTCACAGAGCTAGTAAAAGCAGCACCTGGGATTTGAACCCGGACAGTCTGATGGAAGAATTCAGCTTTGACCCCTGTAAAACACTGCTTCTGACATATGGCATACTCACTCCCTGGGTCTGATCTTTGCAAAATCTGCTAGTTATGTGCCAGAGTTAAGGGTTTCAAACCTTTATAATCCTCACAATAATCATGGAATAGATGTTATTTTCTTATTTTACAGATTAAGACACTGAGATTTGGGTAGCTAATGACCACATTTTCATAGAGATTAACAAGTCTTCATATTATACATAAAGATGCAGTTCTAAGTGTAGTTGTGTTAACATTTCAGTAATGCCTAGATTCTTAACTTCTTCACTGGGCTGGAACTCTGTAAACAAGAATCTTGTCTAGTTTAACTCACCATGGTATTCCCAATGGCTTCCATCAAGTAATCGATCAATGGAATGCTTGATAATGGATTAATTCATAGCTATTCTTTGAACACAGGGAGATGATGGCTTTTTCATTCATTTAGTACAAAAAGTGCTAACAGCTTGGCCTACCACTTAAGCATTGCCATTAAGCCTTTTCTTTAAGGTCAAGGAACATAGGATCATTAAATAATATACTTTTGTCTTGTATATGAAAAGACTCTTTTCCTGGAGTCTATTTCCTCACCTTATCCTGTGGCAAYACTTTTATGGCCAATGAACAGTTTCTAGGCAAACTCTGCCTTTCTGGGATTTATTTGCTCTGCTGAAAAGAAAGGGTATCCTTTCTTTTCCAGGCACTAGGAAGGAGGTAGGACCCAGTAGACCCAGGCTCAGAATTGGGTTCAGGACTGGCTCTTTATATTTTATCTTTTCCATAACTTCTGGCTGCTATTTGCTCATCAACTTCCACATTGGCCTCATGTGACTCTGTGGAGGCAGTGGTTTTGAGGTTTGGAGAGTGGAAAGTTCCCCTAAAGCATGAATGAATAGGAGACGGTGCATTCTGTTAGCTGGATGGGAGCCTCACTCTTACGTGGAGATGTTTTACCTACAACTTCAACGGTCTGAGTCATCATAATCTCCACCCTCCACATGTTCCTCTCCAACTTCCTCAGGCATCTTAGAACTCAAAGATGATCTGATCATCATCCATGGCTCCCTATCCACCCTTGGGATAAAATCCAGACTTTACCCTGGACTCTAAGGTTTGGCATGATTCTATTCCTGCCTTTTTTCTAATTTCATTTCCCTATTCTTACCCCTTACCCTCTGTACTTTTGTCARTTTTCTCAGTTCTTCCAACATATACATCTTGCTTGATCAGAGCTGTTTACACAACCTTGGCTCTGTCTGGGAGTGATCTATTTCCCTATTGCTACTTCTCCTTTATCTCGTTAACTCTTACATGCCATTTCCTCAAGGAAGCATTCATTGACCCTGAGCTTGGGGTCAGGTCATCTGAAACACTCATCTATTGCACCTTCAGTTTCACATAGCACTGATAACACTGGAATTATTTGCTAAATCTGCCTTCCTGGCTAGATATAAATTTCTACTAGCTCATTCATGTGGTCATAAGTCCTCAKCAAATATTAGCTGCAATCATCATCATCACCATCATCATCAGCATCATCACCATCATGCAAACATACAGTACTCGGCACTTAGGAGATTCTTGGTACATACAGGGATAATCAGTGAATCATCATTTTTGACATGAAATCCTTTTAGGCTTGATGCATTACAAATTTCATACTTTTATCCTATCTCTTTTTCTTTTCCCTTAAAGATTATTTTCCCCCTCTAATTGTTATCTTAATTCTTTCAAAGTGAGATATTCTTTTTTATTATCTGTGTGAGGTTCTAATGGAAAATAACAGCATACTACTCAGCAGTCACAGAATAATAGAATTGGAAAAGTGATCTAAGAAGCGATTGATGCAACCCAGTGGGCCAGCGTAGTCTGCCTGTGTGTAATTCAGCCAGCCAGGGATGTCAGAAAGCCTGCATCAAGGAAGGAGGATAAAAGTATACAAAGAGCTAAAGCATTTGAGCTGTATTACAACCATCACCAGGAAGTCCCAGAGAGAAAAGTATTCTTTAAAGTTTCAACTGAACACTTTACCAGCTCTTCCAATTCTGTTTATATTTGCATCAACCTCTTTGAGCCTTGGGGAAATATCTAAGGTTAAACTATCTATTTGTATGTGAATTGTTCAGTATTAATGAAATGCTGAACTCTACCTAGAGCACATGAAGAACAATCAGACATGCATTTCCCAGAAAKCAGGGAAGTAGCTCAAAACAAATGGAAATAAACCA